CAAAAAGTACTCGACTACATCACTGGCTGTGGGACAGTAAACCACTGTGTTTAGAAACCTGAGCAATTTTCAAACATACCATGCTGAGATTGCACATTTGGCCAGTCAGCAGTCTGATGTATGTATGACGTCACAAATTGACTGGGAGATTTGGTGGGAGAGTGGGCGGGCCTTGGATTGTTCCTGTAAGGCACCATTGGTATTACGGAAGCTTATCGTGATTTGCATATTGAGTGGGTGTCCAGCTTGTGCATAAATGCGCCGCTTATCAGGACCACCCCTCTTTCCTTCATCACTTCAGTGTGGAAAAACTTTCTGATGTCCTTTTTTTTTGCAGAATCCGTGTCCTGAAGCATCTGCATCCTTCTTGTCCAGGCTCACGTTCTCGTGGTTCACAAGGTAAAACATTTCTGGACTCGGCTCGTAGAATTGCTACACACACAGAACTGCCTGACACAAACGAATGCTTGGGCAGTTGACATGCATAGCAAACAGTCAGCTGGGAACCAGTTCCAAAACCGTTGGCACTGCGTCGCAGTTTGCCTGGTTTTTTTTGCTACGAAGATATTTTTGTGCCTGATGGCTTCATGAAAATGATTCCTTTTTTTGTCGTTTTCCCAGCAGAACTCATTGAACTTTACTCCCTTACCTGTAGCAGGGTCCGTGGCTGTAAGCTTCTCTTTAACGACCCTTCCCAAGTCTTCCACATTGACCCATGAACTAATTCGGGGTACTCCTCAATGCTAGGATTGTCAGTTAAGGGATACCTCGTTTCAGTGCAGCGCCTGCTTTCCTGGCAACGGCAAAGGTTGAGTGATACAAATCTACAACTTGGCTTCATTTTAATCACTTACATTTCCACTTTTTTTCAGCATGGTTATACTGGGTTTCAAACGAGCCTTGACCACCGAAGATCTGTGGAATCTCTTAGACAGAGACAAAGCTAGGACCGTCGTGCCAAGATTCCTGAAGGAATGGGATAAAGAAAGGTAATTCACGAAACCACATGCTCTAATTCTTACCAATTTTTGCTGTGAACCATCCTGAACCCTTCAGTTTCCACCACGGGATTAGGATTCCAGTGACTCACCGTGTTAAACTTAAAAGGGAGGTTTGGAATCTGCCCCCCTCCAACAATTTTTGTAGTGTCATCACAGTGCCTTTTTTTATGGAGCTTAGCTGTGCGTCGTTCTTAGAGTAACCCTCTGCGGTCCTTTTGACACAAATTGTGCAAAAAATCCAGCGTACCATTCTTTCATAGTGTGCATTTTTCCAAGGCAGGCCAGCCAAAGATACGTTTTTTTACTGCGGTACTCAATGCATGCGGGCTGGCATTCATGTAGCCTTGAACTCCAAATTACCTCAACAACAAAGCCATATATCTGAATGAATTCACATATCACATTTGAAATGGTTAAGAGTGTCTTTACATGCATACATTGTTTCAAAAAAAACCGAGGGTGGCAAAGTCAAATTTTATTTTGATTATCTTCCCCATGTCAACATTAATCATTTGGATTTCCTTTGTTTTTCTTGTTCAATTAATCCTTGAGCAACTACACTACAATCTGTACACTGGAGGATGTTTAAGATGAAGAAGAGTAATTTCAAGCATGTGACCTTTCGATCTTGGGCCAATTTCATGGAGCTGCTTAACCACTACCAGCT